CGCGGGAGCACTTCCTCGCCTTCCCAAGCCGTGCCTGCCCGCCTCCAAAAAAGGAGTTAGGGGTGGGAAGGCGACCTCGCGGGGAGTCCGCCCGAAAGGGAAAGAAAAGCATCCCAGAAAGCCGGGGGCTGTAGTCATCATGGCTTCCTTCCCCTCTCTCAGGCAGAGCACCAGCCGAAATGGTCTCGCCACTGCACTTCCAACCCTCTCGGCCACTTTGGCACTTACTTTCTTTCCAGGGGTGCGTTGACAATGCCATGGTTATCATCGCTGCCTTATTTGAAATGAAAGCCTGCATAGCCCTAGTCACTAAAAAGAAAGATGGCCCAGTTGCAGCGGTAACCTATAGCCTTAGGAACAGGTATTGTTTTGAAAACACCCGAGTAATATATGACAGCACAGACATAACAAGCAGGCAGTGGCTGCAAATGTTTGTTGTTGCAGCGTGCCATATAACTTCTGGGGATTGTTACTTTTCTTCTGATGCAGCCACGTATTTATAAGTGATTTATTTTTTTATTTTGTAGCACAAACAGAAATCCATAAACTGTCGGTTCAGCGCCATTGACTCTTTGATCAGTTACTGGGCTATTTTTTTCCCCCTCCCGTCAGTGAGGGGAGATTAAAAGCCTTTATTTTCAGCACTGTTTGTACTGCAAAGGTCCGAATCTCACTGCACAATAAAAGTGTACTTAAAATGTATCCTCTTTGCTCTTTTATTCGTCAGCAGCGAAACTTATAGCTGCCTATATAAGCCTCTTAATTAGACTACTACAGCGGTTTCCGAAAACATTTAGCTGCTATATACAAAGGAAATAAAACCACATTGTCAACTCAAGAGCGCTCCAGAGTTTAAAAGGGCTCCTCTGTAACCTATTGAAATAATTATTGAAGGGTACAACGCCTTCGTCTTTGTCAGAGTAATTGTAGTTTGCCTGTCAGATCAGTTTTGCTCTAAAAGGAAATCACACTATTTTACTACTGGAGGCATTTAAATCCAACCCTATTTTAGTCAAGATAAGTAAAAACTTGGAGGAGGGGGGTATGAAAGGAAGACCGAAGGGGTGGGGGGTCCTCCCTAGACCTGCCCGCCGCTTGGGCGCTGGGAGCAGCCCGCTATTCCTGCTGGGGAAAGGGAAAATATAAGACTCATCTGCCCTTAACTTTGAATCTTAAAAGTTAGCAAAAATGTACACTGGAAAAGCAGTTCTCCCACGGAGTGTGAAGCACACACCAATTCAATTATATGTTAAAAGGGGCATGTTTGTGGAGAGGTTTTAATTTACATATCTGGGGTCTGATTTCCAGACCACTGTAAATTATACTTCCACCCCCCCCCAAAAAAAAAAAATAACCCACAATCGTCAAATGTCTCTCCGGGGAACCGAAAAAAAAAGAAGACGACGACTTGTATATTATATCAAAAGCCAGTAAGTAGCTTTGTGTCTTTAATTGCTATAGGCGCAATACAGGCACCATGTAGTTATCATCGGAAAAGTTGACCAAGACAGGTTAAATAATTTAATAAGGAACTGCTTGTAATTATGTTATTTACAAGGTATGACAGAGGTTTGAAGAAGAAACAGAAGCTGATCTCAGGGAAATGGACGGGTTTGGGTGACCCCTGGAGCATGGAGTTTGAATTATGGAGATGGGGGGCTGAGAGGTGAATATGGACTAGAGGAGAACAAGATGACTTTTCACCTCAACACATTTAACTTTTAAATCCAAATAAACGTCTCGCGTTACTAGATCATCACACTATACAAGAAAAGGACTAATCACGTACAGTTAGAAGGTGCGGAGGAAGGAGTATTGTCTTCCTAATTCTGGGGAAATATTATTTTTTTAAGAAGGTTCCAATTGAAAAGAGCTGCGTTAAAAGAATAAGCTTGGGGCTACATTTTGGCATTTTTTTCCCCTGCCAGCTATCTATTGCTATATTAATTAAATTCAAATTTGACTCACATGACAGTGTATTTAATGATACATATCCTACCTAGGGTAGTAACAATAAAACTCTTTCACCTTCTAAATATTTTCCAATAATATGGAATTTTAATTAGCATGACAAGTAAACTAAAAGAAAAATGGGTGCAGCAGTGCAATTTACAGTACCAGTCCCTCTAAACTGAGAGCAAAATACAGACTCAGCAACTTAAACTGTTATGAAAACTTAAACTTTCTCACCTGTTTGGTCATTGAATCTATTAGACGAACATACAAATCCTGTTCTGTTCTAACTCCTGGGAGGAAAAAAAACAGAGACAAATTCTTATTAGAATTACAGTAGCGAACCACCTAAATTACATAATGGCCACATGAGGTCAGTCAATTAAGTCCAATATACAATATATCAAAACTTATGTCATTGTTTTAAAAATAAAATCCTTCAAATTGGAAATCATCTGCTGACAAAGTTATTGTCAACTAAGAAATCTAATACTGCAGCGTTTACAGCCAAGGAAACAGGAGACACTCACACTGAGTGAGACAGCGT